AGCATAGCACTTAGTTTCCCTTCGTTTGTGTTTGTAGATGTCAGATACCAAATCTGAGGGTAGGCGTAGTTCGAGGGCCTATGAGGACGAATCTTCCTCGGGGAGTTCGTCCGAGGGGAGTGAGAGTGCCGATTCTGGGAGCTCTTCAAGCTGTGAGATAGTAGAGGGGGCAAGAGTGCGTGCCGAGGCTGGGGGCACTTCGACGAGAGTGCCTGAAGATGGGGAGCCTTCGACTTCGGGTCGGGAGGCCGATGGAGGTGGCGTGTCCGTTGCCGTCCCAGGGGAAGGGGTGTTGAGGGTTGTCAGGGGGAGGCAACGGATTCCGATGGCGAAGCCCACGGAACCGTTGTTCGGAGTAGATGATTTAGAGCCGAACACGCTGACCGAGGCTGAGTTGGCGAAGATTCGGGCGGAGTTCAATATTCCGGAATCGGTAGGGATGCGGATCCCGGGGCCCTTAGAGTCGCTCAGTGATAATGACAAGGGCGTGGTCTTCTTTACTGATGTCTTCAAGCACGGGCTTCGGCTGCCGTTGAGACATTCGGTGCAGAAGATATTGGCTGCGATCGGATATGCACCAGGGCAGTATAATCCAAACTTTTGGATTACGTTGCTTGGGACGATCGCAGCGTTCAGCTTGGCTGGCGAGGGGGAGCCGAGCTACGAACAATTTGCCCAACTGTACAGTGTGACGAGGGCGAAGAGTGCCGATAATGGAGGGTGGGTGCAGTCCAACTGTCTATCGGCAGGTCAGCGTGGACACTTTGTGGTTGGGGTGCCGAGCTCCCAGAAGACCTGGCGTAAGCGTCGGGTCATTGTCTCTGGTGACTGGGAATCGGCACCAGGAGTGATCGTGGAGAGGAGGATTCCTACGTCTTTCCAGACAGTCGGTAGGGTAGAGCCTGCCGTTCGGCAGTTGGTTTATTTATTTTTTTTTATTTTATTTTTTAACCGTCTGATGTTTGTGTTTCAGTGTCCTTGAAACGGCCGTCTGCACCGATCAGAGAAGTGGAAGCGATCGAGAGGGTGAGGACGAAGATTGCCGAAGAAGATCGCTTCTTCAAGGAGTTGCTA